AATATTTGTGGCAAATTTATTTTAGTTATTTTTTATTGTTCAAAGTTTAAAATTTAAGAAACAGGTACTTTGTATTCTTGTTATAAAACCAGAATGTTATTTTTTATACTACTCATTTTGATTTTGATTCTGGTAAACTGTGAACACTATACTAATCTCTTTTAAGATTTATTGCTATACAGGATTTTTAGAATAATATGTAGATATAAGAAATAATAATCGATTATTGTCTTCTGATTATTTTTTTAACAAAATCGATTAATATTTAATAATCGATTTTTTTCACTCAATGTCACATCCTTAGTGGTTATCTAATATTCTCTTTGAACCTAAGTTCACGTTCTAGTTAGAGATGCCCAAAAATATCGATATATCGATATTTTAAATAATTATGTCGATATTTTTAGCCGATATATTTTGATCCGATATATCGATATAAAAATTGAATATCGTAATCGTATCAAAAATGATATTTTTATTCAAATTTAAGTAAAAGCCTATACTTGTCCCACAAGCCTATACTTGTTCCACTGCTGGGCAAAGGCCTCCTCTATACAGAGGGTATCAGGGCATAGTCCACCACGCGGCCCCACTGCGGATTAGCGGACTTCACATATCTTCGAAATATATATTTTTTGTTATTATTTCGAAAATATGCAGGTTTCCTCACGATGTTTTCCTTCACCGCGGAGCGAGAAAAAAAAACTGTTGTTTATGACTAGTAGTGTCGTGGATGCAGTTTTTATTTTGTATTTGGTGTGAAAAGGCAAAGGGTTATGGAAATACCAAAGCAAAGTTAGGACTGTAATTAACTTTAGGCACTGACTGATTCAACTCGATTCTCCGTGCGATTTATTCAGGAACCATAGCAGCACAGTTCTAGGGTCACTCACGGTTTCGAAGTGCGAAAATGTTCAGGAACCGATTTATTTTCGGGAGCGGCAATTATGCGTGGTTGCGCGCGAGCGTCGCCATTTGAAGACATTTTTTTTCTTTCTCGGTGACGTATGGCGGCCGCAATTCAAACGGACCAATAGGGAGCGAGGTTGGCATCAACCCGCGAAATATACGGACATCCAACCAAAGCAACATTGCCATAGCAGCCACGAGTATTTAAATAAATTATGATTATTAAAGAAAACTAACTAATTATACATTAGGTAAAACAAGCACAACCATTTCCCCCAGCCTTGAAAGGGTAGCTTTCAAATTGCATTAACCTAACATATATGAACCTTATTGCTAATACGTTAAATTATTAAGTAATTAACTAATCTTAGCCTACCTAGCAACCTAGCATACATTCTAAAGTTTGCTACTTGCTAGTTACTGCGTTGGCAGTGGACACAGTTTTACAACTGGCCTCTGATAAGTGCCGTGTTTAGTTTTTACCATTACTACACGTATAATGCCATCCTTTCCCTTGAAAGTTTGTGTTATAACGCCTAAAGGCCAATGCAAAGGCATAACATTATCTTGAATTATGATTACAACTGTTCATTCTTTAATTGGGAAGGATGGAGAGTTCCACTTTTGGCGAACCTGTAAGTTATTTAGGTATTCTCTTCGCCATCGCATCCAAAACGACTGAACCATTTTATCTAAAAGCTCATACCGAGTTAAGAGATGTGGAATCGAATCAATTACATCAGAGGCCGGGAAAAAATTAAGAGGTGCGGTATGCAAAAAATGAGATTGCGTTGAAGCTGCTGGATCCGAAGGATCAGCACTTATAACGTTTAGAGGTCGCGAGTTTAGTATTGACTCAATCTGGGTAAGAACAGTTTGGATCTCTTCAAAAGTTAAAATCTGATGGCCAATAACTTTATGTAAATAAGTTTTTTATACACTTGATGTTACTCTCCCAGCAGCCGCCAAAGTGAGGAGCGTTAGGAGGAATTAATTTCCATTGAATCCGATTTTCGGCCCACTCTCTTTCCCAAACTGGTCTATATTCATTTTCAAGGAAAGTGTATAAATCGCGAAGATAAGACCTGGCACCAATGAAGTTGGTACCATTATCGCTATAAAAGCATTGAACCGATCCGCGTCTAGACAAAAACCGTTTCATAGCTGCCAGGAAGCAAGCTGTACTTAAATCACTTGCCAGTTCAATGTGCACTGCTCGTGTAGTAAGACACGTAAATAAACAGATATAAGCTTTACGACTTCTTATTCCTTTACCGCGATAAGGTGTTACTGGAACTGGTCCAGCGTAATCGCATCCAGTGTGAACAAAAGCCTTGTTTACAGTTCTCACTCGGGAGACAGGAAGATCTGCCATTATCGGAAACCCGGGTTTGGGCCTAAACCGAAAACATACATTACATTTGGATATAATGGATCGAATTGCCCTCCTAGCTGATAATATCCAGTACCTAGCTCGTAGCATAGAAGTTAACAATCCTGTTCCCGTATGTAAATATTTCCAGTGAAAGAAACAAATGAGCATATTTACTAAATGATCCTTACCGGGGAGTAGAATAGGATGCTTGAAATCATAACTCTCATCTGAGTTTGACAGGCGGCCACCAACTCGTAATATCCATCCTTAAGAAATGGGTTTAATTTTTTAAGTGGCGGAGAACAACATTTTCCCTTTTGTAAATTTTGTATATCCTCACCAAAATGTATTGATTGGATTTCCCTAATTATCTGTATTTCTGAATATTCTAAATCTGATTTAACTATAGGTCCACGAGGTAACTTTTTAAAAAATTTGAAACAGTAACTTACGATATTCAAGAATTTAGTCCACGAGGAATAATTACGTGCCAATTTGTAAAAGAAAGGTTCATTTGTAGGTGATTCTGTTGTTGACAGTGAAATGATAAGTGCATTGTGTGCTCCGGAAAGTCAGAAGACTCATTCGTTACAAACGGTTTTACAGGCCATTCATCTTTAGGTAGGCTGGCCCACGGAGGTCCCTGTAACCATAAAGGATGATTTACAAGCTGTGTAGGAGTTAACCCACGGGAGAGACAATCACATGGATTTTCGGTCCCTTTAATGTGGTAAAAATGATCTGATGATAAGTTGTCTTGAATTTTTGAAACTGTTGGCAACGAACTTGTGCCATCTATGTGGTGAGGAGTGAATCCAATTTAATGCTACGGTTGAGTCGGAAAAAGCTAAAACGTCATTAATAGGGTATCGACTTGAATAGGTTTCAAAAACCTTTTTTATTAATTTAGAGAGTAGTAAAGTTGCACATAATTCTAAACGTGCTAAAGAAATAATTTTAAGAGGTGCAACCTTTGAACCACTCATTCGACTCTGATTAAAGTCCACTCTAATGTAAACCGCAGCACCGTAAGCCTTTTCACTAGCGTCAGCGAACCCAAGGACAGTCACAGAAGAACCATGAACTACTCCAATGTGGCGAGGGAATCTTAATTTCCCAATGTCAGGAAGCCCCCTTTTAAATTCACTCCACAATCGTATAATTCGTTCAGGGGGAGCATCAGCCCAGTCAACTTTGGAAATCCAAAGCTCTTTGATTAAAAGCTTAGCGTACAATATTACGGGAGCTACTAGTCCCAAAACATCGAACAAGCGTGCAACACAGGACAAGATGTTTCTCTAAGTGCAGGGGCGGTCATCTGTTCATCATCATCATCATTTCAGCCTGTTTGAGTCCACTGCTGAACATAGGCCTCCCTCACGGACTGCCACGAAGTACGATCCTGAGGCACCTGCATCCATCGACTTCCCGCAGATTTGCACAGGTCGTCACTCCATCTAGTGGGGGGTCGTCCTACACTGCGATGGCCAGTACGAGGCTGCCACTCGAGCACCTTTCTTCCCCAACGGTTATCGGTTCTACGAGGTATATGGCCGGCCCATCGCCACTTCAGCTTGCTAGGTTAGGTTTTTTTTTTTTTTTTTTTTTTTTTTTTTTTTTTTTTTTTTTTTTTTTTTTTTCTCGTTCCCCTGATATAGTTGGTCAGGGACTTTTTTCACCTTTTTCTTTAATTACTTTTTGGGGTTGGTGGTCTTTCTTTTTTATATTGTGCTTTTTCTTTTGCATCTTTTATCTTTTTACATTTTTCTTAATACATGTTCTGTTTACTTAATAATATGTTTAGGCAATGCTTATACAATTCTCTTACTGCTATGAACTTATACTTCTCTATCTAGATACTTATCTTTTGTCTTATAACAAGAATTATTAATATCTTTAACTTATTTAGGCTTACATAACTTTCCTACTTTTCTTCATAGTTATACATTATATATACTACTACAAGTTATTTGTCTGTAAACAATTTAAACTTACATTGTTATCTTAATTCTATTTACTTATGCTATACTGCTTACTTATTATTACGTATTATTACTCAATATACTAAACATTATCTTTGTTGTATTACATTCATCTCCAATGTATTTTTGCTTACTTTCCTAATTTACAATACGTCATCTGGATCTTTTACATCTCATTGTTTACATTCTATAATACCTCACTTGATAATCTTATTTTATTTTCTTAGTTTTCACAACATTCTTTAAACTTTTTCAACTTCTTAATGTTATTTCTTACATATATTTTGGGCATGTTACAAATTTTTTATTAAATTTTCTGTTCTATAATTTTTTGTTTCTCACTTTAATTTACATTATATGTATTAATTCTACTTCCTTACTCCTAGTATTGTAATATGTACAACCAGTGTGTATATATACAATATCTTTTAATTGCTTTAGTTAGCTGTTTTTATTTTGCTATTTTTGTTAGTGATACACCTATTACCGTTTGCCAAATTTGTTGGGTTGCGAGGCATTTTTGTGCCCAATAATTTTAATCCGCAGTATAGGCAGAGATCGTTCTAGTTGGTTATACTTCATGGTATTTCGTGTTCCTCCTTTCAATGTTCATGGCTTAGTTTTATGCAGTTTGGTTTTCTCCAATCTCAGATTGGGTGTTACATGGTTATGCAACTTCATGCCGCTGGTTTGCCTTTTATCCCGTTAGTCTGGTACTTAGGTGCGGGTGATTATTTACCACAGTTCTTCCTCGCATCTGTGTTTAGGCGTCGTCCCGTTTTAATCTGCAAGGTCTCCAAGTCACTTATTGTTGCCTTGCCGGAAAACGGAAAAATTTTGGGCTGGTCGTGTTTTGGAGGTATCTTGAGCAACGTGACTCGCTCCGTTGCCGGCCAGGATTGCGGATCTCTTGGGGGCCATCTTAGCTGTAAGCTACAGACGACCTCGCCAAGGTATCCCATTTCTTCCTGACCGGACAATCTGCACTAAATGCATTGTGGTTTCTTTTATCTTGTTTTGCCTTCGTACAGTTTTTGCACGAAGGTTCCACTCCGGCGGTCCAGTCAGCGCACTCGGTCCTGAGGTGTGGGCCTCCACAGTGGCTGCACGTATCCGCTGTCTCACTGCAGAGTCTCTTTGTGTGCCCGTAGCCCAGGCACCGCGAGCACTGGATCAGCGGAGATTGGTCCGCTACCCGCACTCTCTGGAGGTCTATGAAGATCGTCCCTTCCATTGTCATGGCTGCCCACACCCGTGGCGACACTCTCATTACTATATGGCAAGTGAGCGGGTTTCTAGTTCTTTTACGATATTTGACCTCCATACGTAGGTCAACCTCACTCACTCCCCCCAGCAGGTGTTCGTTCTGGTTCCTTATAGCTTTGATAATGTCGCCATCGGTGTTATCCATCGTAACATCTCTCAATATGACAAGTGGATCTTTGTTTTTTATGTCCTCTGCCGTTAGTAGCGTTCCTTTTGCATTTATTTTATCTTTAATTTTCGTCAATTCTTCTTGACTGCTGCATCCGATTATCACCTTCCTATCTCTGGCTTTTCTTATTGAATCGATCCTTATTCCTTCTATTTTTGCATTTATTGCTTTCCTTATGCGATCCACCACTTGGTCCCCAGTTTCAATTTCGTCCGCCGAAGTCACAGCCACCGAATATGCAGCTGCTTGCCTCGGTGGTATGTATGTATTTGTCCCGGCAGTTACATTTGCGTATGTCATTTTTGTATGCACCGCTATCTCTCTATTCTCATGTTCCTTCAGTGCTTCTCCTAATTTTATCATTTCCTTTCTATTTTCTTCTATGATCTTCCCATGTTGTTCCATCTTTACAATTAATTTCTCTTCCATGTTTTCTTTCCTTTCTCTTTGTTTCTCTATTCCTTGATCTTTTCTTTGTGTTTCCATTTCCTGTTTCTGATCACTGACCTCTTCTTTCTTTTTCTCTGCTTCGGCCTCCTTTCACTAGTTGGTAAAGACGGTCAATGACTTGAATCACCTCATTCTTTATTTCCGTTTTTAAGTTTCTGGCGCTATTTAAGTAAAGCTTTGCCTTGTTTAGGCAAGCTCTTGCTTCAGCTACCCTGTCTTTTTTCTTCGGCTCTTCCTTTTCCATTTGGCTCCCCTCTTCCTCCAGTGAAAATCTACTAGAGGGGGGTGGCCCTAGCTGCTTCGTGCGTACTGCCGGGGCGTATTTAGATGTCCTGCCCTGTGGTTCGGGATTTGACTCCCTTCCTTCATTTTCCCACTCTCCGATACTTCTCCTCACTTTACTCCTTACTTGATCTTCTTTTGAAGATGGTCCAGCCATCTCCTCCCTATTTGGGGGAGTTTTGTCTTTCTCTCCTGCCTTTCCTTTCTTATGTGGAGTCCTAATCCCGAACATTGTTTAAGGGGAACACGTCTATATGGTAAAAATTGTAAATATACAATATTATATATTAAATACGTTTCTCCTATATGTATAGGTATAGGAGAGTCTTGTTTAAATATAATGATAGTCCGAATTTATATATGGATAACTCCCTACACTGCGGAGTCAATCAAGTAGTGTTAGTCAATTTTCTATATAATTGTCACTCTAGTTAATTTAAGCAGGCAACCGTGAATATGTATATCACTTTACCTTTTGTTTTATTTTTATCTGTGGTATAGTTTGTATTTATTACAAACACAGTTTTTTATATAGTATTTATTTATATGTAAATAATTGTCTCTGCTTATTCTATTTTTAACCTATATTTATGTATATATATGTATTTATATATATATGTCTTAGAGTACTATAAACACTACTTCTTATATTACAAAATTGAAATAAAATGAAAAATTTGAAAAATATTTATCTCTACTTTTCAAAATGACTCTACGTAGGGCCTTGTCTTTTATTATTAGACCTGAATCAACCCGAAAAGCCCGCTCAAAAAGACGTATTTTTGACGGAGTTACATCAAGTTGAAATTTTTCAAAATGGCGGATCAAAATGGCCGCCAAAAGTCTACTTTCAATGGTCCTCCTCCTAAAGGGTACAATTTTATCGCATATGTTGAAAACCCCGTCCGTCTACGTACGATACTTTCCGAGTTATGCCTGTTTTAATATTTGCAACTAACACTGGTTGACGGGTCCAGAGTGGCTCACTCCCTCTAACTCTCTTTGACTCTGACTCACTCTCTTACCCACTCTTAGCTTCTCTCTTATTCTGTCTACGGTCTATCCCCGACTCCCTCCGAGCTCCTATACGTAGTCCGTTTCTTATTTTAGAAATAGAAATGGAAATTGTATGACCGTTTCTATTTGGACCGCTTTCCTATTTCTAATACAGATGTTAACGTCAGCGTTAAAGATGACGCTAGTTATGTTAACGTTTCAAACTGCTTTGGTTTTCGTTTTAAACATTGACAGTTTACGTTTTAAAGTGTCGAAAATACCAATTTATATGTAACAATACTTAGATAATGTAAATATTAAATTTAAAAACTACAAATATAACAAAACTTAGAGAATATTACAAAAATATTACAACTATTACAATATTACAAGTTACCAATACTTTCAATTCTTTAAGCAAATACTACTAATATTAAAATATTACAAAAATATTACAAATATTGCAAACACTTCCAATTCTTTGCAAAAATATTACAATTTAAACAATATTATGGAAAATATTAAGATTGATATCGAGATTGTACTGTCGTCGTTGCAAAGTTTTAACAGAAAGCGGTCTTCTTCAATTATTGTTTTAGATATTTGAACCACTTGCAAACACTTTTTTGAGAAAAATTTTTCACAGATCTTATTTTTTGTGTTTCCTCTATAATTTAGCACTTTTTTCTTCTAGAATTTCCTTTTATTTATTGAGTAATTTTCCGTTTTTTATACACGTAATTCTGTTTTATGTTAGAATTGTAAAATGACTATAACTTGAGAACTACTTGTTGGATTTTCACGAAATTATAGGGGTTAGGTTAGGTTAGGTTAGGTTAGGTTAGGTTAGGTTAGGTTAGGTTAGGTTAGGTTAGGTTAGGTTAGGTTAGGTTAGGTTAGGTTAGGTTAGGTTAGGTTAGGTTAGGTTAGGTTAGGTTAGGTTAGGTTAGGTTAGGGTAGGGTGTAGATATTCTGCAAACCCGCCGTGACCTGTTAGTATTTGCGTGGTTATTGGGTCGATTTCCATTTTCTTGATTATGGGATAGGCTTCAATAACGTCAGGGAAAAACATCTTAGTGGTGGACGTTTCTTCGTTCTTCTTCTGCTTGTACCTCCGGTTCCATTCCTCAAGCGACTTCTCTCTGAGTGTCGCTTGACGAATGAGACCGGGCATACATCGTAGTGTGGTCTTAGTTTTCGACCTAAGGGCGGCTTCCTTTGCTAGCTCGTCTGCCCTTTCGTTGCCTGCAATCCCGATAGGGCCTTAACCCAGTGCAGCGCAAGGGTTTTTCCCTGTGCTCTTGCTTTCCCTATGTTGGCCCTTGCTTCGACTGCTAAGGGAATGCAGGCTGTCACTCC